TAAAAAAAAGAACATAAGTTTCAGTCATTTTTCGAAATAGACAGCTCCCAACGAAGAACCACTTTTGTCATTGCCATTCTACCTGAAAAACGACACACGGGCGGTGGGTAAGTACTAAATGGGTAGAACAAAACAAAATCAGGGTATCCGGTATATACCTGTACATTTAGATGAACAGTCTAATTTTATAAAAGGTATTTCTAACGACCGCATAGTAAATACCCGGTATATCAGAAAATAATAACCAGTAATATCAGAAATACGAGTATATCTACAATATTTCTTATATATATTGTAGATATTATATATTGGTATATTTCTATTCCCGGTATTATACCGGGTATTTACTATGCGGTCGTCGGAAACTCCTTTTATTAAAATTAGGATGTTTATTTAAATCTACAGGTATATACATATATACCGAGACTTTATTTATCTACAAATTGGGTACTTACCCACCGCCCATCACTGACCCTTTTCACCTTTCGATAAGTTATAAGATAATCGAGATACAAAGGTCATCGAAAAATGCAAAAATTTCTACTAATTAAAAAATAAAAAGTAAAAGAAAGAAATAAGAAATAACTTTGAACAAAGAAGGCTAGGATAAATATGTGTGTAGCGTATTTAGTTTCATAATAAGTAGAACAATGATGTGAAAACAGCATCTTTATATCTATACTCATAAACCAGAAACCCATAAAACACACAAAAATGGAACATCCTGTACATCTAGCAATCGCCAGTCAATATAAAAATAATTCACACACAATAGTCTAAAAAATGGAAGAAAAAAACAATATTGTCTTCATATTTGTGAAAAAATGCATGTCCATATTTATGTAATCGTAGCGACAAAAATAAAAAAATAGAAATAGTGTGCATGATGCCTTTACAAAAATATCTGAAGAAATGGGGATTGACATCATTAACGTTTAATTAGTATGTCAAATTTCATGGTTTCGATATAAATCACATAATAAACTATACTCTATTGTTGACATGTAGCTGCTATATTAAAAATATTTTGTGGTGTGTTGTTGCATAATTATTTCCAAGCATCCGCGAGGAAGTAAGGAGAGGAAGGAGCGAAGTGTGAGTATGGGACTTAACACAACACTGTAAATTGTAGAAATATATATATATATATATATATATATATATATATATATATATATATATATATATATATATATATATATATATATATATATATATATATATATATATATATATATATATATATATATATATATATATTTGGGACAACTAATACACAGCTCGGGAACCAACACATGCACCAGAAATCAACAGAAGCATTAAGTTAGCATGGAGTACTTAAGGAAGAGAAAGAATATAATTTTCAATATATTTTAAATCAGATATAACAAATAATAAATATACATAACAAATAAAATATAGATAACAAATAATCTATTTTCATCTTGCATCATATTTTAAACAATAAATTTCAACAAGGCCCATAAATAATACCTAATAATTAACAAGTATTATGTTACTTGTATCTTAGAATTACATGGTATACCTAAAATGAAAGGAGGCTTTATGTTTTCAAATCTCAAATAAATGGATATTACACTATTGTTACTTGTTATAGGAAGGCCCTGGTGAGAATTACAACAGTTCTGGTAGTTGTTTTCAGGCATGCTTTGATTCGTTTGATTATGGACCTGACTATTTCCACAAGAAAGTGCTGATAATAACTGATCTTCAAAAACAATCGGAATGTCATCTATATTTAATGCGGAATAGTTTTCTTGTGCGGTGAGTTCTTGCATGGGAAGCTCTTGTACAGGAACCTCTTGTAAGGGTGTGGTTCTTGTACAGGAAGCTGTCTTATGGGAAACTCTTCTACGGAAACCTGTTGTATGGGTGGTTCTTGTACAGGAAGCTCTTTTATGGGAAACTCTTCTACGGCAACCGGTTGTATGGGAAGTTCTTGTAAGTGTGCATTATTATTTTGCGTATTTTTAGCAACTAGGTTCAGAATCTTTAACGTACGTGAACTCATGGTGTATAATAAATCTGAAAAAATACCTCCTATGTATTCATTATTTTTTTACAATACCTCCTATCTTCCTAAACAATTATTGAATAAACAATAGATAATAGACAATAAGAACATTTTGTAAATTTTCTAAATAAAACGTGGATTTTAAACTAGACACTTGTGTAGAAAAAAAAATTTAAACGATTAAAACCTAACCTAACCTGAAAAAATTATGTACTTACCGGCACTTCTGTTGAAAACAGGGCAATCTTAAGATTGGGACCTCGATTGGGGCAGTTACAACAACACTTCACATTTAAGAACACTTTTTTAACTTCCTTTTTTGTCTTATAAACCAATTTTTCGCAAAATCTCCGCGAGCTCAGCGAACGATCGAATCTCGTCCATACACGTGAGAAGATAGGCGATGTTAGTCTTACAAAAGGTACGTAAACAGATAGGAGGTATTGTTTTTACGAAGGGACTGGACGACACTGCAGTTTTCGGAAGTTAGAAGGTTTTTAAACTATGCGCGGAATTGTTAGGAAAAATTTTGTAGTAATAACTGAAAATTCATTTTTTTGGAAGATAGGAGGTATTGTCACATCACTGACGATAGATAAAGCTGTATTTCAGACCGTAAGTTGTTTTTTTGGCTAAGTATCTGTTCTGAGAGCTATCTTTTATTTATAGAGTAATTATATGAACTATATTGTAATCCTATGGACATAGTAATAGTATGCCGCTGAAATTTCACCCACTTTTATTTTGTATGGACCTACGTAGATCTTAAGACAGCATTCATGACCTTACATTTGTTCTTCTACTGATATCGAAGACTCCTGTTGCCATAGACATCTGCTTCCACTTCTCTTAGTCTGGAGACTACCTATCTACCTGTTTACAACATCATAAGGAACTATACAGATAAGTCCTAATTTCGATACACAAGGTACTCCTTTATTTTACACAACACATTACATTTTTGAGACAACAGTTTAATATCTCTGTAAATTATTACTATTTATCCCATATATTATAGTCAAAATTACCTTTCAGTTAACGTTATAAGTTATAATTTGATTCAAACAGTATACTTTTACTTTGTTATGATATTTTATATGAAAATTACTACACGTATTCATTACAGTTGAGGGTTGAAACCTTTGGTGTTACACAGCAAAATAAAAACACTAAATCACCACAATACACCAAAACACTTTTACTTTTACACTGGACGCGCGTTTCGCTAACCATGTTAGCATCATCAGCATATGATTATAAACTAAAGTACAATCTACAAGTTGAGCGTTTATATACTCGCCCAGTAGGCATCGAGTGGGCGTGGCAAAATCTAGCCAACCAGTCAACATATAATGTTCTTTAAATCTAGTTAATATTGATCTTCTAGTTTGCCCAACATATTTCTGATTACAATCTTTACAAGAAATTTCATAAATACTCGACCTTTCCAGTGGAGGTGTTTTATCCTTTGGATTACCTAATAATTGTTGTAATTTATTATTAGCACTATACACAAGTTTATAATTGACATTCTTAAAAATTCCTTTTTAGACCACGGGATAACTCTCTATCAAACGGTATCGAAAAATATTTAGACGTATCTTTCTCCACTTGAAAAGTCGAATTTTCAGAAATCATTAACCTATACCTACGTTTTCTAATTAATTTATCAACTAGTGAAGGAGAATATCCATTACACTCAGCAACATTCCTAATGTAATCTCTTTCTATTTCATATCTTTCGTTGTAAAGTGGGAAACTAAGTAATTTATGAACTAAGAAATTTAAACTAGCCATTTTATGTTCAACACTATGATGTGATTCATTGAGAATATATCTGCGTGTGGTCGTATTTTTCATATAGATATCAAATTCCAGGCAATTATTAGCATTTCTAATAAGTAATACATCTAGAAATGGTAATCTGTCGTTGTTCTCAATTTCATGCGTAAATTTAATGGAAGGAAAACGATTATTTAACTTAGAAATAAAATTATCTATGGTGTCTGAATGTGTGTCAAAAACAGCAAAAATATCATCCACATACCTAAACCATACTCTTGGAAAATACTCAAACTGATTCTTAGCCTCCACTTCAAACCTGCTCATGAATAAATTAGCCAAAGATGGAGACAATGGATTACCCATTGCTGTACCTTCCCGCTGTTCAAAAAAGTTGTTATTAAATTGAAAACAATTTTGTTTCGATTCTTAAAGGTTTTTGTACACGACATGTTTTGAAACATCATCGTATTGATACATATATAAATTTTACCTGTTTTTATATTAAGTAGTATAGTTACAGTTCCTACAAAGAAGAATACAGTTACTAAATTCAAATTTATTTAAAATAACTTACAGTTTTATTGGGATAATTGAAACTAACTGGTACTTGTGTTCGTTTTTTTTTTAAATAAATGTTTAATGTAGGAGAGTTATCTCTGACTTTTATTGTTGATGAACATAATAGACACTTATTTCTGTTGATTACTTTATTCTAGCTATTTTGTGTTAAAATATTTTTCATTTTGGTTTCTTACTTTACCTTTTTCATAAACAAAGTAAGTGGCGCCCTTTTTACTGTCTTTGACCATATCTATACAAATATATAACATCAATATTAAAATTTTTGCACCCTAAATATTATCATTTTTTATTTTAATATTTAACAACATTAGAAAGTCACCGCAAGCTAGAAGCCTTACCTACGAACCCAGCTCTCCTCTAACCCTGAGCAACGGATACTTTTTTCTTTCTGTTTAGGTAATGACAGAAAAGTTGTCACAACATGTCCTTCAAATCCTTGAATTTAATAGCTGTTAGTAAGAAGTGCACACACAAGTTTTTTTAACAAAAATACTCACCCCAGAAATGAATGCGATTATGATAGAGCACATTTTTTATTACGTTTTGTCTTAGTTATTTTTAAGTAATAAATTTATAGAGGGTGATTTATTTGTTTCAGAAATTCCTAATTTCACCAGCCCTATTCTAAATGTGACAGTTCCAATTGGGAGAGAAGCCATTTTGGAGTGTGGCGTAGACAGCTTATCAGCATTTAAGGTAAATTTAGTTTCTCTGTAATAATTACATAGAAATATGTTATTACAGTTGAGGGTTGGAACCTTTGGTGTTACACAGCAAAATAAAAACACTAAATCACCACAATACACCAAAACACTTTTACTTTTACACTGGACGCGCGTTTCGCTAACCTTGTTAGCATCATCAGCAGATGATTATAAACTAAAGTACAATCTACAAGTTGAGCGTTTATATACTCGCTCAGTGGGCACCGAGTGGGCGTGGCAAAATCTAGCCAACCGAGTCAGAGCCCACTGAGCGTAACAGTTAGATTTCTGCCACTAGAGTAGTAGGAACAAAGAACTTGAAGGAATTGGACCGTTGTCTCTGTTCATACTGTCTTTACATTTATTAATTCTGATGCATTCATATGCATCTAATTGCCTGTAATTTGAGACTTGTTTAAGTAATTTTAAGTTATTAAGATCTATACAATGTTCTTTATCAACAATATGTTCGGCAACGCAAGATTTATCCGGTCTACCATATCCTATCTGAGCTAAATGTTCTTTAAATCTAGTTAATATTGATCTTCTAATTTGCCCAACATATTTCTGATTACAATCTTTACAAGAAATATCATAAATACCCGACCTTTCCAGTGGAGGTGTTTTATCTTTTGGATTACCTAATAATTGTTGTAATTTATTATTAGCACTATACACAAGTATATAATTGACATTCCTAAAAATTCCTTTTAGACCACGGGATAACTCTCTATCAAACGGTATCGAAAAATATTTAGACGTATCTTTCTCCACTTGAAAAGTCGAATTTTCAGAAATCATTAACCTATACCTACGTTTTCTAATTAATTTATCAACTAGTGAGGAGAATATCCATTACATTCAGCTACATTCCTAATGTAATCTCTTTCTATTTCATATCTTCGTTGGAAAGTGGGAAACTAAGTAATCTATGAACTAAGAAATTTAAACTAGCCATTTTATGTTCAACACTATGATGTGATTCATTAGGAATGTATCTGCGTGTGGTCGTATTTTTCCTATAGATATCAAATTCCAGGCAATTATTAGTATTTCTAATAACTAATACATCTAGAAATGGTAATCTGTCGTTGTTCTCAATTTCATGCGTAAATTTAATGGAAGGAAAACGATTATTTAACTTAGAAATAAAATTATCTATAATATCTCTATAGAAATATGTTAGTTTATAACATACAGTGGCAGCCAGCTAATTAAGAACGATTATATTTTTGATATTTGGTACTAAAATATGGATGGTATTCTTTAAATTTGTAAATAATTCTTATCACGTAATGTTAATTCTGTAATCTGAAAAATAAACAGAATAGAAAAATGTTTTCTCAAGATATACCCAAATATTTGGTTTTATCGCGGACACGAAATTGAAAACTATTTATTTGTTTACATTTTTCTTTAGGAATGCGCCTAGGATAATAGAGGTACAATTTAATTTGGTATTCAAGCGCTCTATACATGCCTGGCTTAGTAGTACTCTGTCAATATCAACGAAATAACATGGGCAAAAGTAAAAGTTGTGATCTGGCAAAAAGGCAAATTATTTTAAACTTAGTAAGTGAGGGCTATTGATACAGTGCAGTTGCATCAATGTTGGAGTGTTCAAAGTGTATGGTGTTTAATGCTATGAAACACTATAAAATTCATGAGACTGTTGAAAAGGTACCTAAAAAGAAGAGACCTAGGATAACTACCGAAAGAGAAGACAAAACTATTGCACGCATTGCAAAAAAGTCACTTCATTTGACAGCCGTGAATATTAGACGAGAAATTTATGGCGAAACCCATCCCAAACCATCAGTAAGAACAATTCGTCGCCGCCTTAGTGAGTTCCAACTATTTGGAAGAGTTTCTCGGAAGAAACCTCTGGTGTCGAAGAAGAATCGTCAAGTCCGATTATAGTTTGCACGAGATCATTTATGGCAACTCAATCAATTGGCAACTTGGCCAATGGAAATCTATACTTTGGTCGGACGAAACAAAGATTAATCGCATCCCCAAGCAACAATAGTTTAATACATAATATTTATTAAATATGTATTTATTATTCTATCAAGAAAAACGAAGAAGTAGTTCTTTGATTTATTTTCCGATGACTTGTAGATATATGGATTTTTTATAATAGAGACAATTACGGCAAATTCATTTTCTTCACTTCCAACGACAGGTTTCTGCCTAATAGGTTTTTTAGAAACCACACTACCAGCTCTGCGAAATAGGACAAGTAGTTTTTCAAAGGAACGCTTATCAGGAAGATTCCTATTTTCGGATATCTTTGAGCATAAGCTCTTGAGGCCAAGAAGCAATTTTCCTCACAAAATAAAATCACTAGAAACATATCCATTCGTTCCGCCAGCAGATACCGCTTTATTTTTCTTGATAAAATAATAAATACTTACTTATTAAACTGTTGTAGGTAAATCTAAGTAAATTGTTATAAATTAAAAATAATAATGTCCATAAACTAATGTCGACTTTAAAAATGGTTACTAACTGTCACTAGAAAATTGCAATGGCGACACCAGCCATCTTATTGCAATTTTATTAAAAAATCGCTTTTTATCCAAAATCTGAGCTAGATAGGTATAGGAAACCCTAATATAGTTTGAAAGAGCATTTGAATCTGCTTCGGTACATTTAAAAAAATACGGGGTGTTACATTTGAAATAACGAAGTTTTATATAAAATAAATCCTTAAAAAAGATAAGCAATTTTTGATACCCCTGTATAAATTTAAGGAAGCAATGCCATTTTTCAGTAAAGTTTATTTCTTTACCTTTAAACTCAGCACAAAAATTAATTCTGAAAAGTAGTGTACATGGTGTTAATAATCTATTCTATTGTAGCTTACAAATTTAAATCTTTAAATATCTCAAAAACCAAAGATTTTAAACCTGTTTAACCCTTACAGTAAATTACTATTTTTGGGCCCGAGAATCCAAAAATGAAATAAAATACCGGGTGTTTAATAAGAAAAAATATAACTTTGATATGTATCTTAGTTCTGAAACACCCTGTATATTTCAAAATAATTTTAAATTGTGCACATTGCCTCCCCGCATATACCCATAAAATATTTTGTTTCTGCATCTTTCCCTTTTCGTATAATCAACCGAGGCGACTGAGGTGCGCCACCGTGTAAGGCATGTTTTTTAAGTAAGTACCGTTTTGCAATTCCGCCGCCGCAACGCTACAGTCGGCGTTCCGCGCATGCGCGCTGGTTACCTACATCTCTTGTCTATGCACAGGCGCCAGTACAGTCTGATTCTTCATTGTATACGTTGTTTATTGAGTGTTTAAGATACCTCCGACAATCGTGAGCCCCGCCGATTGTGAAGTACGGGCTGTCATACGATTTCATAGTGCTAAAGGCGTAAAACCGATCGATATTCATCGTGAGATCTGTGAAGTTTACGGACAAAACATTATGAGTGATGGAATGGTAAGGAAATGGGTGAGAGCATTTAAAGATGGCCGCACAAATGTGCATGCAGAAGAACGGAGTGGGTGTCCTTCGGTCGTTAATGAAGATTTGGTGCAGAAAGTGGACGAAAAGGTGAAAGAAAACAGACGCTTTACAATTTCATCATTGTGCGACTACTTTCCTCAATGTTCTCGTAGTGTTTTGTATCGCATTGTGACCGAGAACTTGAATTACCGGAAATTGTGTTCACGTTGGGTTCCGAAAATGTTGACGGATTTGCACAAAACCCAACGTTTAGGCAGTGCATTGACTTTCCTTGAGCAGTACCACAATGAAGGTGAAGATTTTTTAGACAAAATTGTTACTGGTGACGAAACATGGGTGGCCTACGTCACACCAGAATCGAAACAACAGTCCATGGAATGGCGACATTCATCATCACCCAAAACAGTGAAGTTTAAGCAAACAATGTCTGCCCGGAAAATCATGTGCACAGTTTTTTGGGACAGAAAAGGAGTATTACTAGTGGAGTTTCTGCCTCGTAATGAGACAATCAATGCAGCATCTTATTGTGAGACATTGAACAATCTGCGCCGTGCAGTCCAAAACAAAAGACGTGGCAAGTTGAGTAAGGGTATTGTTTTGCTGCATGACAATGCCCGTCCACATGTGGCTAATCGGACCAAAGATCTCATCAAATCTTTTAAATGGGAAACTCTAGATCATCCTCCATACAGCTCTGATCTGGCGCCCAGTGACTACCATTTATTCTTGCACTTGAAGAAACACCTGGGCGGTCAGCGTCTTCAAGACGATAACGAAGTCAAAACTGTTGTGTTACAGTGGTTAACCAGTCAGGCGGCAGAATTTTATAAGGAGGGTATTGAAAAACTGGTGCCACGTTATGACAAGTGCCTCAATATTCACGGAAATTATGTAGAAAAGTAGATTAAGGTACAGGCTTTCATGTAAAAATAAAATTATTGCGATATCTTTGCACGTTTTTTTTAAATGCCAAAACGGTACTTACTTAAAAAACATGCCTCGTATATTATTTAAAATATCAAAACACTGATAAAATTGTTTTTCAACGATATAGCATGTTCCTATAACTAAACCTTCCGGTTTCTTAAGTAGAGTGCTTTAAAAATTAATAATTATTCTATTATTAAGAACCTCTTTTAGTGCGAAGTGTACAAGATAACTTAATAGCCGTAAAAAACTCATCGCAACATTATTACAATATTTGGAACATGAAAGCGGTAGTAATTAGTAGTGGGAACTATCGAATGAATACTATCGAAACATTCGATAGTTGCAATTCATTCGAATAATTCGATAGCTAGTAAAAAAACATTCGTTGAAAACTATTCGAATGAAAATTATCGAATAGATGCGTCATCTGTCTTGAAATATTGTATTCTAGTAATTCGGCAGCAAAAACCATTCATTTATAAAATTCATTCATTTATGAAATTCATTTATTCGTCAGGATCGATTATAATAAAATATTAACTGGATTTTAGTTGTCGCCCGGCGACGTAGGTTTC